GATGGCTAGTTTTTGTTGCCAACTTAACTGGATCTGGAATCACCTAGGAGAGACACCCCTAGGTGAGTCTTTGGGGGAATTTCCAGACTACCCTGGTCTACATAGTTAGTTCCAGGCCAGACAAGGCCTCACAGTGAGACCCTAAATTTAAAAAAAAAAAAAAAAAAAAAAAAAAAGGAAGCAGGTGGAGGAGGAGGAGTTGAGAGGATGGTTGAATGGGTAAGAACATGTCCTATACAAGCCTGAGGACCTAAGTTCAAATTTCTAGTACACATGTAAAAGCTAGGCATGACTGCATGTGCTTTTAACCCCAGCACTAGGAGGGCAGACAGGCAGATACTATACTGGCTTGGTCAGCCAGCCTAGCTGAAATGGCAAGCGTCAGGTTCAGTAAGAAACTCTGTCTCAAAGCAATAAGGCAGAAAACAGTAGGACACACCAGATGTCTTCCTGTAGCCTCCACAGCACACAAAATGAACCACATACACATAGACCATGCATCTGATAAGGCGGGGAGAAAGGGAGAAGGGGGAGGGAAAGAGGAGGAAGAGGAGAAGGAGGAGGAAGAGGAAGGGAGAATAGAAAGACAGGAGAAGCATAGGAGAAAGAGGAGAAGGGTGGGGAGGAAGAGGGCAGTAGGAGGAGGAGGAGTTTAGGAGGAAGAACTGGGACTAGAATTCCTGCCCTCCTAGAGCTTACCTTTTAATCAGGAAAGATAAACAAAATAAACAAAGGAAATACTGATGTGTCAAACAGTGATAAGTAAGAAAAGGAAAAAAAAAAATGAAGGGGAGAAGATAAGGAAGGAATTAAAATTTAGAGGGAAATTCTTTAACAAGACCTGATAAAAGTGTGCAAGTAAAGCTTACAGAGGTGGGGGTGGTGGAGAGTTTCCAGGCCTCAGGCATAAGGAATTCTTTAAGATTTGACTGAGCCTCATTTAGTGTGTATTAGGCCCTCGTTAGACCCAACAAATTCCTTAAAGTAGCAAGCTTAGAATGTTCTAGCAACAAAGAAGTCTACAGTAATGCTATGGGGGTTGGGACTCAGTAGTAGTATCTGTGTGAGGACTGAGAAGCCCTGGGTTCTAGTGAGCCTCAGCAAAGCAAAAGAGGAAAAGGAAAGGGAAAAGGGAGGGAGAGAGGGTGGAAGGGAGAATGACAGAGCATGTGGGAGGGAACCTTAGCAGTGAAAAGAAATGTGTCAAAGAGGCAGCCGTGGGCCAGGTCAAGTAGAGCTTTGTAGACGACTAAAACAACTGACTTTTACTGAGTAGCGTGTGTGTGTGTGTGTGTGTGTGTGTGTGCGCGTGCGTGCGTGCGTGTGCATGTGTGTATGTGTGTGCCTTTGGGTGCAGGTGCATGCTCACGTGTGTGTATATGTGGAGGTCAGAGATCAACCTCAGCTGCCTTCCTGGATTGCTCTCCACTTTATTTTTCAAGAGACAGGGTCTCTTGGTGAAGCCAGAAGTCACCAAATTGGCAAAACTAGCAGGCCAGTAAGCCCTAAGGATCTTCCTGTCTCTGCCTCCCAAGTTCTGGGATTTCAGGCACATAGCCTGGTGCCTGACTTTTCTGTAGGAGCTATGAATCCAGATTCAGGTCCTCCTGCTTAGCAGCAAGCACTTTACCAACTGAACCATCTCCCCAGCCCCCACTACTGAAAGACTAAGCAGAGTGGCATAACCCAATGACATTTTAGAAGGTCTGCCTGGCCTGCC